TTTGGGGGTAGGATCCACATTTTTGCCCAAGATAACCTGGACCATGATCCTCCTATTTACACTTCTTGCCTAGCTGGAATTGCAGGCATGGCTGCTCCAACCAGTTATTATTGGTTGACAGAGGATCTTGCTACATTTTGGGGCCAGCTGGCCTCTAACTATGATTCTCCTGATCTCTACCTCGAAGTTAACTGGAATTGCCACTGCTTCACTCTGGCTTTAGGGTTGAATTTTGGCACATTCCCTGAGGAAGCACTGCAGGGGAGGGGGGGGGGGGAGGGGGAGATGGAGTGCCCAAGTAGATTAGGACTAGGAGTGTTTGATGGGTCTGTAGACTGGCGATGGGGCTCAGCGCAGGGTGGCCAAAGACAAGTATACAAAGACAAGTATATGTAGGTGTGGGTGGGAGGCCCAGGATGAGGCGCAAAAACTGTGTCTCAGTTTCCCCTTTTTGCCAAACAGGGCATATCTTTCCAGAAAGCCAAAGGTTGGTTCCATTTGGCCTCAAGGGAATCAGAGACCCTCTCCTCTCCCCTCCCTCACCCTCTCAGGTTGGGGGAGGGGGGGTCCCGGAGCATCTCCTCCCAACCCCACCCTGCCATTTTACCCCCAGGTTCGAGATTGAAATCGAGCCTATCTTCGGCATCTTGGCCCTGTATGATGTGCGAGAGAAAAAGAAGGTGAGGACCCCTGTTCCTTCTTCCTTCCTGGAAGGGCTGGGGGGCTTCCTGGAGGCGGCGGCCCACCTGGCCTTCACATCCTCTCAGATTTCAGAGAACTTCTACTTCGACCTGAACTCGGACTCCATGAAGGGGCTGCTTCGGGCCCATGGCACCTGCCCCGCCATCTCCACCTTGGCCCGCTCTGCCATCTTTTCCGTGACCTACCCCTCACCTGACGTCTTCCTGGTTATCAAGGTGCTCACGGGGGTGGGGGTGGGGGTGTTGGGGTGGGGGGGGTGTATGTGTGTGTGGTGATGGCCACAGGATCGCTTCCTGCCTCAGTGGATGGAGAGCAACTCCACAGAGGGTCCTCACCCGACTGAGATGGGGGGGAAACTCTGGAGGGCTTCCAGGGAGAGATGGCCCCTGAGCTCTGAGACCTGTGGGTGGGCATCTTGGGGACAGGGCATTGCTGGGCACACACACACACACACACACACACACACACACACACACACACACACACACACACACACACCAGTGTGGTGTATGGTCGCTGAAAAACATCATTGGAAAGTTTGTGGATAGATACTGAAAATGATTGATTGGTGGTGGTATTGGGATTTGAACTCAGGGCCTTAAGCTCAGTAAGCTGGCGTTCTACCACTTGAGTTGCGCCTTCTAGTTGTTGTTTGCTTTAGGTAGTTTTCCAATAGGATCTCATACTTCTGCCTGGGATCTTGAGCCTTTTACCTGTACATCTCGAGTAGCCAGGATTACAGATGCACACTACCATGCTTGGTTTGTTCATTGAGATGGGAGTCTCACTGACATTTTTGCCTGGGCTGGCCTTAGATTTTCCTGATCTCTGCTTTCCAGGCAGCTGAGGTTACAAGTGTGAGCAGCCACATCAGCTGCTTTTTTTTTTTTTTTTTTTAAGAATTGTTTTGTTAATCAAGGCAGGAAAGACTAGCTGGCACATTCATTGGGGATTTTCTGTTTCCGGGTGTGAGATCAGGTTTCCTTCCCTTAAACCTTCATTTAGGTTGCAATAATAATAAAATGAATTGAGTGCCTGCAGGCAGGTCCTGTGTTTGGCCGCTCTTCACAGGGTCGGGATGGTTGTGATCTTTATTTTGCAGATGGGAAACTGAGGTTTGGAGTGGGCAAGCGACCTCCCGGTGCTGTGCTCCCACAAACCTCTTGAGTGGTCAAGATTGGAGCCCAGGCTTCCTGGGCTCCAATAACTAAGAAGTATGTAGAGGCTGGGAAGGTGGCTCAGTGGTAGCGTGCTTGCCTAGCATGCATGGAGCCCTGGGTTCAATTCCTCAGCACCACATACACAGAAAAAGCCAGAAGTGGTGCCGTGGCCCAAGTGGTAGAGTGCTAGCCTTGAGCAAAAGAAGCTCAGGGACAGCACCCAGGCCCTGAGTTCAAGCCCCAGGACTGGCAAAAGAAAAATGTAGAGCTGGGTGTGTGGCTCAGTAACTCAGTGACAGGACCCTTGCCTAGCAGAGATTCATCCTCGATTCATCCCAGCACATCTTAAAAAAAAAAAAAAAAGCCAGGAAACGATTAGCCAATGGCACTTTGGGGTTTGGGGTTTGGGATGGTCTGAGGGATGGGCACGGCTAGCAGGCGAAGTGCCAGAGCATTATCCCGGACAGTGGGAGCCACGGGAGACCAGGGAGGGAGAGCCCCAGCTAGGGGTGTCAGGTGGTGCAGCGGGGAGGGCGTGTCTGGGGGGGTGGTCCCCGGAAGGCCCAGGAGGTGGAGAAGGGGCCCGAGGGTCCTCACCAGCCCTCCTGCCCGCAGCTGGAGAAGGTGCTGCAGCAAGGGGACATCAGCGAGTGCTGCGAGCCCTACATGGTGATGAAGGAGGTGGACGCCGCCAAGGTGCGCGGGCGGGCGAGGTCTGGCCGCTGGGGGACCCGGGCCGGGCTGGGGAGGGCCCTGGGGCCCTGAGCTGCTGCCCCTCCACCCTGGCCTCCCCACAGAACAAAGAGAAGCTGGAGAAGCTGCGGCTGGCGGCCGAGCAGTTCTGCACCCGCCTGGGCCGCTACCGCATGCCCTTCGCCTGGACGGCCGTGCACCTGGCCAACATCGTGAGCAGCGCCGGCCAATCAGAGCGCGACTCCTCCGACTCGGAGGGCGGTGAGGAGGCGGGCCAGCGGGAGCGGGAGCCAATGGGGGTGAGGGAGGTGTGTCTGACCACGCCCAGGGGTGGGTGTGGTCACGAGGAGGGAGGGGTGGGAATCTGCGGGTGGTGGGCGTGGCCCTCGCGGGAAGGGGCGGGGCCACTGGGAGATGGATGGGAAAGGTGAGGGGTGGGAGCCCGTGTCAGGGTGCTGGGGGGCCGGGGGCGGGCATCAGCATCAATGGAGAGGTAGGTCAGTAGGGGAGAAGCCTAGGACAGCGGAGGTAGGCGTGGCTGGCAAGAGAAGGTTCACTTGGTGGTGGGTGTGGCCCGAGGAGGTGGGCGTGGCCTGTAGGGAGGGCGGCCGGTCCCGCCATCACCGTGGGGGAGCAGTGCGCGCCCTCTGCTGGCCGACGGTGGCGCTACGCGCAAGTCAGTCAGGTCTGTCTGTCCCTCCGTCTGCCTCCCCTGTCCCTCATCTCGTTCCCCGCTGTCACTGTCCCTGTCCCCCCCAGAGCGCCGTCCTGCCTGGACTGAGCGCCGCCGCCGGGCCCCCCAGGACCGAGCTAGCAGCGGGGACGACGCCTGCAGCTTCTCTAGCTTCCGCCCTGCCACACTAACTGTCACCAACTTTTTCAAGCAGGTGTCTGTCCTGCCTGCAGGACGGGAGGGCGGGGGGAGGGGATACGGGGGAGGGGGAAGGCGGCTCCTTCCTCCCCACTCCCCCGGGGCCACGTGGCATGGGGCACTGACAGGCGCTCCGTCCTCACAGGAGGCTGAGCGGCTGAGCGACGAGGATCTGTTCAAATTCCTGGCGGACATGCGGCGCCCCTCGTCCCTGCTGCGGCGCCTGCGGCCTGTGACCGGTGGGTGGGGCCTGTGTGAGGGACAGCTGTCACTCAGTGGCCGGTGGGTGGGGCCTGTGCCGGGACGGCTGTCACTCAGTGGCCGGTGGGTGGGGCCTGTGCGGGGATGGCTGTCACTCAGTGGCCGGTGGGTGGGGCCTGTGTGAGGGATGGTTGTCACTCAGTGTCCGGTGGGTGGGGCCTGTGCAGGAACAGCTGTCACTCAGTGGCCGGTAGGTGGGGCCTGTTTGGGGATGGCTGCCATTCAGTGGCCAGTGGGTGGGGCCTGTGTGAGGGATGGTTGTCAGTGTCCGGTGGGTGGGGCCTGTGCAGGAACAGCTGTCACTCAATGGCTGGTGGGTGGGGCCTGTTTGGGGACGGCTGCTATTCAGTGGCCAGTGGGTGGGGCCTGTGTGAGGGACGGCTGTCACTCAGTGGCCGGTAGGTGGGGCCTGTTTGGGGATGGCTGCCATTCAGTGGCCGGTGGGTGGGGCCTGTGCAGGGACAGCTGTCACTCAGTGGCCGGTGGGTGGGGCCTGTGTGAGGGACGGCTGTCACTCAGTGGCCGGTGGGTGGGGCCTGTTTGGGGATGGCTGCCATTCAGTGGCCGGTGGGTGGGGCCTGTGCGGGGACAGCTGTCACTCAGTGGCCGGTGGGTGGGGCCTGTGCGGGGACAGCTGTCACTCAGTGGCCGGTGGGTGGGGCCTGTGCGGGGACAGCTGTCACTCAGCCAATGGTGCCATGACCTGGATTTCCAGCCTGGGCCCGGAGGGGACGGGGGTCACCAGGGGCCAGCGTGGCAGGAGAGCTGCCCAGATGGGGGTGGGCCGGAGGAGGCCACCCTGTGCCTTTTGTCCCCCAGCCCGGTGCCCCGATTGTGCGTGGGGGCCTGGCTCAGGAGCTCTGGCAGGTACGAACCCACTTCCCTCTCCCCAGCTCAGCTCAAGATCGACATCTCCCCGGCTCCTGAGAACCCCCACTTCTGCCTGTCCCCCGAGTTGCTTCATGTCAAGCCCTATCCGGACCCCAGGGCCCGGCCCACCAAGGAGATCCTGGAGTTCCCAGCCCGGGAGGTCTACGCCCCCCACACCTGCTACAGGTACCAGATTGGGTGGGGGTGCAGTGCTCGGAGGGGACGGGCTCTGAGGGACGCCCCCCATTCTCACAGAGACACACAGACCCCTGAGGGGAGACCGCCAGTGCATGGCTTTAATGTGGGGTGTGTTAGGTACAAAGGGGTTCATGTCTTCCTCCTGCTCTTCCTCTCCTCTGCCCTCAATCCCGCCTGCTGGGGGGGCGGGGGGACTCTGCTCCGTGGCCGGAAGCGGGGCACCCTGGCTGACCCCCAGTGGGCGGGCAGCTCCTCCCTGCGCAGGCGCCCGGAAGCGTCCCTTGAGACGTGACTGGACCTCGCTTCTCTCCAGGCAGGAGGCTCAGGCTGGTAGCGCGGCCGTGTGGAGCCTGGGGAGAAAGAAAGACAGGGGCTCAGTGACCAGGCCAGTGGGGGGAGCGCTCGTTCTAGCTGCCCCGGGGTGCTAACCCCAGTCCCTGGCTGGACTCCCCGCGCGCTCACCTCTCCTGGATCTCCTGAAGCCACTGCTGCTGACTCTCCATCTCCCGCCTCTGTCGCTGCAGGTGACCCGCCAGGGCCCACACCAGGTGGCTCTGCTTCTCTGCATGAGCCTGTGGGGGCGGAGGCACGCCTCAGTGGGGCCATGGGGGGGGCTGCTCCCCTCCAACCCCGTGATCCTGCCCAGGCCCCCCTCCCTTTGTATCTGGGTGATACTGGAACTCAACAACCCTCCCTGGCCTCAGTTTCGCCATCTGCAAAGTGGGCTGTGTATATGCGTGCATGCGTGCGTGGGTGCCTGCATGTGTGTGTGTGTGCATGCGTGCGTGTGTGTTTGTGTGTGTGTGTGTGTGTGCCAGTATTAGAGCTTGAACTCAGGGCCTGGGCGCTGTCCCTGAGCTGCTTTTTGCTCAAGGCTAGCACTTTACCCACTTGAGTCACAGCACCACTTCCAGCTGGATGTGGTGCTGAGGAGTCGAGCCCGGGGCTTCATGCATGCCAGGCAAACGCTCTACCTTCCCAGCCCAGAAGTGAGTTTGAAGAAAACCACTTACCTTAATGGTCTCCAGTTCCTGGCCGGCGCGGCCCAGCCAGGCCCCCCTCAGCTGGACTTCCAACTGCTTCACATTGTCCCTCAGCGCCCGCTGGGCCTCGGCCACCTCCCCCAGCAGCTGAGCCGAGGCCTCTGCACGGAGCTGCAGCACATCCTCTTCTGTCTGCTCGAGAGATAGAGTAGGGCGTTAAGACAGTGACCAGCCTGCTTTCTGGGCTCTCCTGACCTCTTAGACAACCTAGCTGGTCATCTTTGTGCAGGCTCCTATGTACCCCACAAAGCCCCAAGTGTCATGCCCACCTGCATCTCCAACAAGTTGGTGCGAAGCTTCTGTGTGGCATCCCAGCCCTCATGGACCCGAGTGCCCAGGAGCCCCAGCGCCCGGTCAAAGAGGCCCACGCTGCGCCCAGCCTCCAGCAGCCGATCCTCCGTGCTCTTGTACACGCCATTCAGAGCCTGGCCCAGCTGTAAGGCCCCGTGGAAGAGCAGGGTCAGCTCCTCACGCTGGGCCGGCTGGGCGCCCTCCACGGGGGCCGCAGGGACGGGCCGGACCGCCATGACCAGGGCGCACAGCAGGCACAGAGACCGCGCGGGCATAGCTGCTTCCGTCGATTCCGTGGTCTCGGAGCCGCTGCTGGGGATTTTATGGCCCTGGCCGGCGTTGGCCCTGGTCAGTGGTTCACTCGAGTTGTGCAAGCGCCTGGCAGAGGCGGCGGATTGCATCAGGCGCATGTCTGGCCCAACCACACTGGAATCATGACAGAGGCTCATGGCCCAGCTTGGGGGGCTGGGGGGCGCGCACACTGGGTCAAGCCAGGCTCTGGTCTCTATCGCGAGACTTTATCGTACAGTGTCCCCACTGAGGCTCACAGCTGCAAGAGGCCATGGCTGAGCCAATCCCGCCAGGATCGGCTCCAGGCACATGGTGGGGAGGGGAGGGGAGGGGCAGTTCTCAGCCCTCGGCCATCAACCTGCCATGCAGGGGTCCCTGAGCGGCCGGGGAAGCGGGGTACAGGTGGGAGAGTCCATGGGGTGGCCGCCCCGGCCAGACTCCCGGACCCACCCCTTCCCCTGGGAATATTCCGAACCACCACGTCACTTCCCGGCTGCTGATGGGGCTCAGCACCTCGTTTGTCTGACCCGTAAAGTGCAGGTCCTGAGTCCCCCCCCACCTCGCGGCTGCGTGTGGAAAGTAAATGGGTTGGCTGAGTGCGGTCGTGCACGCGTGTAATCCCCGCTCCCTGGGAGGCAGGGATGGGAGGACCGCCGGCACGGACAGCGAGGCCTCATCTCCACCCGTCAGCGGGGTGTGGTGGCTCGTGCCGTCATCTCTGTGGCAGGCACAAGGGGGAAGATGGGGGTCTGAGGACGTCTGGGGGGGTGGGGAGAAAAACAAAAAACCAGACCTTGCTTGCAAAATAACCCAAAAGGGCTAGAGGTATGATTCAAGTGGTAGCGCTCCCTGCCTTGGGAGTGTGAGGCTTTGAGTTCAAACCCCAGTACCACCAAGAAAAAAGAAACCAGTGGCTCACGCCTGTCGTCCCCGCTGCTCAGGAGGCTGAGATCTGAGGATCATGGTTCGAAGCCAGCTCAGGCAGGAGAAGTCGGTGAGACTTTGTAGCTCCCAGTGAACTACCGAAAGACCGGAAGTAGAGCTGTGGCTCAAGGGGTAGAGCTCCCGCCTTGAGTACAAAACCTCAAGGACAGTGCCCAAGCCCTGAATTTAAAAAAGTAAGCAAGTTATTTGACACCGGGCACTCAGAACAGAGCCCAGTGTCTGGGAGGTGTGCCATGAGTGTTTGGTGCAGTTATTTACCACCATTGGTATACGACCAAGGCTGAGCTAGAAGCTGCAGTGTCCTTGTGATACAGGAGACAGAACGCAAACTCCAGCCCCAGCCTTGAAATCTGGCCTGTTTCCCCGGCCTAGAGACAGGCTCTAAGACTTCAGTGTTCCTTGGTGAGTGTGTGTGTGTGTGGGGGGGTCTGGCATGGGGGAGCCCAGCCACATCTCGGAAGCACCCTCAGGGCCCATCTGTTCCCCCCCCTCCCCCGTCTGTGCTTTGAAGGGGGCTGTGGGGTCCCCCATCTCTGCCTCTTCATCTGTGATAGACTCAAGGCTGGTGCTCTACCATTTGAGCCACAGCTCCACTTCCAGGTTTTGGATGGAGATAGAGACTCACAGACTTTCCTGCCCAGACCGGCCTCCAGCCACGATCCTCAGATCTCAGCCTCCTGAGTAGCAGGGATAACAGGCGTGAGCCACCAGCGCCCGGCTTCTACCTGGTGCTTGGGATTGCTCCTCACCATTGCCCCGTGTGCCGTGGCCTGGTGACCCACTGTCCTGTGCTGTCTGGGCCCTGGCTCTCCGGGGTACCCCCCCTCACCACCTTCCCCCTGTCCCCCCAGGAACCTGCTCTACGTGTACCCACACTGCCTCAACTTCAGCAGCCGCCAGGGCTCTGTGCGCAACCTGGCTGTCCGAATCCAGTACATGGCGGGCGAAGACCCCAGCCAAGCCCTGCCGGTCTGTGGACAGGACTTGGGGTGGGAGAGGGGAAGACGGGGGGGGGGGGGGGGGGGGTGATGTCCCGATGGGCCCCTCATGGCATGTTCCCGTCTCTCCAGGTCATCTTTGGCAAGTCCAGCTGCAGCGAGTTCACCCGTGAGGCCTTCACGCCGGTGGTTTACCACAACAAGTATGTGGGTGCGGGACGGGGCATGAGCCGGCCGGGGAGTGCTGTAATCCCAGCACCTGCGCGGTTGAGGCAAGAGGAGTTTGAGTTCCACGTCAGCTTGGGCTCCATAAAAAGAGACCCTGCCTCGGGGCTGGGAAGGTGGCTCAGTGGTAGAGCGCTTGCCTTGCATGCATGAGGCCCTGGGTTCGATTCCTCAGCACCACATAAACAAAAAAGAAAAAATCTGGAAGTGGCGCTGTGGCTCAAGTGGTAGAGCACTAGCCTTGAGCTGAAGAGCTGAGGGACAGTGCCCAGGCCCAGAGTTCAGGCCCCACGACTGGACCCCAAAAAAAAAAAAAAAGAGAAAAAGAGACAAAAAAAGAAAAACCAGCCAGGCACTGGTGGCTCGAGTCTGTCATCCTAGCTACTCTGGAGGCTGAGCTTTGAGGACCTGAGTTCAGAGCCAGCCCAGGCAGGAAAGTCTATGAGACTCATTTTCAATGATTCACCAAAATCTACCACTTGAGCTGTGGCTCAAGTGGTAGAGCATTAGCCTTGAGCACAAAAGCTCAGCGATAGCACCCAGGCCCTGAGTTCAAACCCCAGGACCAGCACTAAAAACAACAACAAAACTGGGGGCCCACACGGGGTCCCTGGTGGCTATTGGAAGATACATATGCATGCCCAAGTTGGGAAATGGACAGAAAAGGGGTGGGTGATCCCCCTCCTCGAGCTGACCCTCCCCCGGCCCTGTCACTCCAGGTCCCCCGAATTCTACGAGGAGTTCAAGCTCCAACTTCCGGCGTGCGTGACCGAGAACCACCACCTGCTCTTCACCTTCTTCCACATCAGCTGCCAGCCCCGGCCCGGCACAGCGCTCGAGACGCCCGTGGGCTTCACCGTGAGTCCGGTCACCCGGCTCAGCCCCACCTGGTCCCCCCCTCTGGGCCAGACCCCCCCCCCTGACCCCCCCCTTCTCCCCAGTGGATTCCCCTGCTGCAGCATGGACGCCTGAGGAGCGGCCCCTTCTGCCTCCCCGTGTCCGTGGACCAGCCGCCACCCAGCTACTCCGTGCTGACCCCCGACGTAGGTGTCTGACCCCCCCATATACACACGCCCCAGCACGCCCAGCTTCTGCTAACGCAGAGCCCTGCCTCTCCTTCCCCCAGGAATATTTGTTGTTTTTTTTCTTTTGGTTTGGTTGGTCGTGGGCTTGAACTCTGGGCCTGGGCGCTGTCCCTCAGCTCCTCAGCTCAAGGCGAGCGCTCTACCCCTTGAGCCACAGTGCCACTTCCGGTTTTCTGGTGGTTCATGGGAGATCAGAGTCTCACGGACATTCCTTGCCCGGGCTGGCTTTGAACCTTGATCCTCAGATCTCAGCCTCCCGAGTAGCTAGGATGACAGGCGGGAGCCACCAGTGCCCAGCTCCCCCAGGAACATTTCTGGAGCCCCTGGGTGCCTCACCGCCACCCCTCTTCCAGCTTTTTGGGGAGTCCTGGGGGGAGGTCCGGAGTCCCTATCCCTGTTCCCCCTCCTGGCAGCATTGCTGGCCCTCGCTTCCTTTAGAGTTGGAGTTCATGGGGGGACAAGTTTCACCCACTTCTCCAGTGTCCTGAGGATTACGTGACTTGCATCTTGCCCAAGGGACGTCCCCTCTCCCCATCCCAGTAGAACTAGGGCAGGGTCAGGGGTCAGGGGTGCCCCCCCTCGGGCTGGGCAAGTGGGCAGGTCACCGCCCGGTGGCCTGACAGGTGTGTGGGGGGGGCGGCCTGGTGCCCATCGGGTGTCCCCCCTCCCGCAGGTGGCCCTGCCGGGCATGCGTTGGGTGGACGGCCACAAGGGCGTGTTCAGTGTGGAGCTCACAGCTGCATCCTCCGTGCACCCCCAGGTAAGGGGAGCCCCGAAACCCTCCCCCTCCTCCCCCCCCCCCCCCAGCAGCTCGCTCCTGATTGCTCTGGGGTTGGGCAATGGCTGTTGGGAGCCAAGGGAGGGCTGGGCCTGTGGACGTGACTTTGGTCAGCGGGGCGGGGGAGGGGCTGTGGTAACCCTGAACCTCTGCTCCCCTTGTGTCCCTCCCTCTACCCCCCCCAGGACCCCCACCTGGATAAGTTCTTCACGCTGGTGCACGTCCTGGAGGAGGGGGCTTTCCCCTTCCGGCTCAAGGACTCGGTGCTGAGCGAGGGGACGGTGGAGCAGGAGCTGCGGGCCGGCCTGGCCTCGCTGCGCCTGGCCAGCCCCGAGCCCCTGGTGGCCTTCTCCCACCGGGTCCTGGACAAGCTCGTCCACCTAGTCGTGCGGCCCCCCGTCATTGGAGGCCAGATGGGTGAGCCACAGCGAGCGAGCAGGGACACGGGCCTCAGTTTCCCCTTCGGGTCCATAGCCCCTGGACAAGTTCTGGATGCCCATGGGGGTCCTCGGGGGCCCCCCCTCCCCATGGGTGTTGCTGTGGGAGACCAGGGGGGAGGGGAGAGGCCTTGGGCCCTGGAACTTGGCCTCTGCTCTGCCCGACAGTGAACCTAGGCCGGGGAGCCTTTGAAGCCATGGCCCACGTGGTCAGCCTGGTGCACCGGAGCCTGGAGGCAGGCCAGGACGGCCGCGCTCACTGCCCGCTGCTGGCGGCCTACGTCCACTACGCCTTTCGCCTCCCTGGCACTGAGTCCAGTCTCCCTGGTGGTAAGTGCTGGTGGAGAACCAGAATCAAGACAAGAGCCCATCCGGGAAAGGGGAATAGCATGTGCTTGCCTCGCATGCATGAGGCCCTGGGTTTGATTCCTCAGCACCACATAAGCAGAAAAAGCCAGAAGGGGTGCTATAACTCAAGTGATAGAATGCTAGCCTGAGCCGAAGAGCAGAGAGACAGCGCCCAGGCCCAGAGTTCAGGCACCGAGATGGACACACACACACAAAAAAAAAAGAAAA